CTAGCAAGCCCCTGCCGGGGGCTGTGGCTGTGCCCGGCCTGACTTCCAGACCCTCCTGGGGCCCTTCCCGTCCCACGTGGCCACCCACGTGGCAGCACCCACCCGTCACAGAGCAGAAGCCCGAAAACATCGATGTGCAAAACGTAGAATGCTTGGAGTCACTAGTCTCACAGAACTGCACTGTTTCACTTCAAAATGTTCGAAGATTTAAAAGGGAAAAGATTTTTTTCCAGGGATGAGGTCTCTCTGTGTGGCCCAGGCTGGAAGAGCAGTCGCTGTTCACAACCTCACAGCTCACTGCAGCCTCGAACTGCTGGGCTCACTCGATCCTCCTGCCTCAGCCTCCCCAGTAGCTGGGACCACAGGTGCGGGTCGCTGTGCCGGCTTTGTTTTGAGGCTGTGTCTTTGCAGTCGAGCCCCAGCCCCCCCCAGCCCCAGGCACCCACAGACCTGGCCTCTCCCGTTTGTGGACTCACACGGCACGGACTGCGTGATGGCTTGCTTTCCCTCAGCAGTGTGCTGTCGGCGCGTGTCCGTGTTGCTGCCTCTGTCGGTAGTTCTTGTGTGGCTGGGGCTGTTCCACGTGTGGCCACCACAGCATTTATCCGTTTATTGATAGGTGTTTGGGTTGCTTCCAGTTTTAGGCTGTTTTGCATGAGGCTGCTGTGAACACTTGTGGACAGTTTTGCATGGACATATGTTCTTATTTTTTCTTGGGTGAATACCTAGGAATGGAATGGCTAGATGCGTGGAAGGTCTGTGTCTAACTCTCTCAGAAACCGCTCAGCTGATTTGCAAAGTGGTTACACTGTTTTACCTTCCCTTCGGCACCTGGGTGAGACTTTACTTGGGATTGTCGTTTTTGAAATTTTAACATTCTTAGAGGGTATAGAGGTGTTTCATTGCAGTTGGAATTTTATTTCCCTGTTCCTGGCGTCTACAGCCAGATGCAAGTGGCATTGTTCCTGCCCCAGTGTGACAGCCAGAGTGGTCTCCAGACGCCACCGGATGTCTCCTCCAGGGCAGAGTGCCCCAGCCGGGAGCCAGGGCATCGGTGTCTCACCAGCCCCGGTGGTGAGGGAGGCGGCAGGTTGGGATTCGGAGGACGGAGAGTGAGATGGGCGCTACCGCAGTGGTGGCTCTCAGACACGTTCTCCCCCTGACGTTCACGTCACACGCACGACACTTCTGCGGACACGGGGGATGCTGGAGCTTGACGGGTCCCTGAGGCACCTGGAGGTCAGGGGAGGCGACAGGTGCGGATGGCAGGTGACAGGTGAGGGCCGCGGGCTGTGCACACACAGCAGTGTGAATCCCTGTGGTCTCCCGCTGTGGGGGAAAGCCTTGGAGAGCACACCCTGGAATTTCAGTAACTTCTCTCTCCGCGCGAGACGGTCAGGGATGGTCTTAGGCTTCGCTCGTGATGTTTCCTGTGTTTTGTCCATGAGCATGTGTTATTCTAGTGACCAGGAAGTGCTTTAAGGAAACAAAGTCAACAGACCCACTCATAGGACATTTTGGGTGTTTCTGTGTAGACCGACCTGCGCTGAGTGTGGATTATAATTCTGTGGTTACGTATCTTCCTCCCAGATTTGTTCTACAGTAAAATGCTTCCTCAGGGTGGAACTAGCTTTTTCTCTGATTAGAAAAGTAATCTTGTTCGTTTGTTTGAGAAATTAAGAAAATATAAAGCACCACGTGCACTCACCAGCAAATTGGTATTAACGGATCAACACCTAAGTGGACATACAGGAAAAACATTTATCGGGTGTCGGGCGGGTGGGAGGGGGGAGCAGGGATGGGTATAAACAAACACAGTGAGTGAGATGTGCAGTGTTTGGGGGATGGCCACGCTTGAAGCTCTGACTCGAGGGGGGAGGGGGAGCAAGGGCAATATATGTAACCTTAACATTTGTACCCCCATAATATGCTGAAATAAAAATAAATAAATAAATAAAAAGGGATCAAGAAAATGCAGAGAAGTATAAAGAAGGAAACTCACACTTGATCCCAGCAAGTCTCTGGCAGCCACCCTGGGTGTCCCCTCCAGCCGTCTCCTCAATTCACAGACTCGGTGCAGATGCCGTGTGCGCCGCGACTGTGGTCTCCTCACTACCGTATCTCCTCCACGTCGGATTCTGAGTGTGGCGTTGGTCCTGTGCACAGTGTTTTTAGTAGCATTTTTATTGAGACACACACACGTGCCATGAAAATTCACCCTTTCACAGGGTGCAGGGCAGTGTTTTCAGCATGTTTACAAAGTTGCATAACTATTGCCACAATCTAATCACAGAAAATTTTTGTCACCCCAAAAAGAAGCCCCGCCCCCAGTAGCCGTCACTGCCATCCCTGGGCAGCCACTAACCCACGTTCTGTCTCTGTGCGTCGCCTGTGCTGGACATTTCTCTGAGAGGAGTCACACTCCGTGCCCTTGTGACGAGCGTTACGGATGGGTCCGAGCTTCTTTTCTCATTACGGCTCTGTGATTCCATTGCAGGAACACGCCACATTTTCCTCGTCTGCTGTGACAGGCATTGGGGCCACTTCCATTTTTTGGCTCTTACAAATGACACTGCTGTGGACCTTCGTCTGCAAGTTTTTGTGTGGCTGTGTGTTTCCAGCTCTTCTGGGTGTGTGCCTCGGAGGGTCACGTGGCAACTCTGTGTTTAACCTTCTGGAGCTGCCTCAGCGTTTCCCAGAGCAGCTGCGCCATGTGACCTTCCCACCGCCGCCTCCTGAGGGTCCCAGTTTCTCCATGTCCTCACCGACACTTGTCACTGTGTCTTTTTTATTGTAGTCACCCTAGTGGGCGTGGCATGTGAAACTGTTCTTGTGGATTTGGTTTGCATTTCCCTAATGACTAGTGATGCCAGGCACCTTTCCGTGTGCTCGTTGGCCATTTGAATATTTCTTTGGAAAAATGTCTGTTCAAGTCTTTTGCCCATTTTAAAAATTGGGGCTGTTTGTCATTTTATTGTTGAGTTGTAAGAGCTCTGTGTTTATTCTGGGTACTGGACCCTTACCAGATATATGATTTGCAAATGCTTTCTCCCTTTCTGTGGATGGTCTTTTCACTTTGTTAATAGAGAACTTTGAAGCACAAGACTTTTAAAGTCCAGCTTAGCTACTTTTTTCTTTGGTTGCTCATGTTTTTGGTATCATGTCTAAGAAACTCTTGCCTAAGCTGAGGTCATGATGATTTGCACCTGTGTTTTTTTCTGAAAGTCTTACAGTTGGATCTCTTACATTTAGGTTTACGATCTGTTTTGAGTTGATTTTTGTACTCTGTGAGGTAGGTGTCCTGCTCATTCTTCTGCATGGTGTCCAGCACCACTTGTTGACATGACTGTTCTTGACACCCCCCCCAACTGTCTTGGCAATCTCATTGGAAATCAATTGGTTGTAAGTGTATGGATTTATATTTGGACTCTCAGTTTTATTCTGTGCACATCTATGTCTATCCTTATGCCAGTACCACATCGTTTTGATTACTGTAGCTTTGTAGTCAGTTTCTAAATCAGGAAGTAGGAGTCTTCCAACTATGTTCTTTTTTATGATTGTTTTGGCTATCCTGGGTCTTTTGTATTTCCTCATGAGTTTTAATTTATCGTTTTCTTCCCAAAAGGCAGCTGTAATTTTAATAGGATTGTTTTGAATCTGTAGATCAATGGGGAGCATTGTCATCTTAACGATAGTAAGTCTTTCAGTCCATGAAAATGGGGACATTTATTTTCAGTCTTTCGTTTCTTTCAATGATGTTTTATAATTTTCAGTGTGTAAGTCTTGTACTTCTTTTGTTAAGTTTATTCCTAAGTATTTTTCATGCTATTGTAAATGGAAGTGTTTCTTAGTTTCATTTTTGGATTGTTTGTTGCTAGTGTATAGAAATACAGTTGAGTTTTATGTATGGACCCTGTATCCTACAACTTTGCTGAACTCATTAGCACAGATTGTGTGTATGTGTGTGTGTGTGTGTGTGCGCGCGCGCGTGTGTATGTGTGTGTGCGCGCGCATGTGTGAGCGCACGCATGTTTGTATCCCTTGGGTTTTTTTACTTATAGGATCACATCCTCTGCAAATGGAGATAGTTTTACTTCTTCCTTTCGAAGTTGTATACTGTTTATTTCTTTTTCTTGCTTAATTGCTCTGGCAAGGACGTCAAGCACAATGTTGAATAGCCGTGGTGAAGGCAGATGTCCCGCCTTGTCCCTGACCTTAGGGGACGCTTCCAGTCTTTCCCCGTCTTAGTATGTCAGTACCTGTGGGTTTTTGTAAATTCCCTTTATTGGCTAAAGGACATTCACTTCCATTCTTAGGTTGAATGGTTTTATCATGAAAGGATGTTGGCTTTTGTCAAGTGCTTTTTCTGCCATCTATTGAAATGATCATGAAATTTTGTCCTCTGCTCTATCAATAAGGTATATTACGTTGATTGATTTTCGTATGTTGAACCATCCTCACAATCCTCACATCCTCACCATAGTCTGTGAAAGGCTCAGTTTATGAGTATTTTTGTTGAAGAATTTGCATCTATATCCTTAAGGGATGTGAGTGTGTAGTTTTCTTGTGATATTGTTATCCGGCTTAGGTGTCAGGGTAATGCTGGCCCCGCAGAATGAGTTAGGAAGTGTTCCCTCCTCTTCTGCTTTCGGAAGAGTTTGTGAAGGATTGGAGTTAGCTCTTTAAACATGGGCAGAATTCACCGGAGAAGCTCAGTCTGCACAGGCGCTTCAGTGGCGCCAGAAGCGGAGGGGACGCCTTGTGGGCAGCGAGGCCCGTGAGCGCGGCCCGGTGCGGGACACAGCCCTCGGGGCTGCTCCCCTCTCAGCCTTGGGCTGGGCAGCACCCATCCAGCGGCAAAGCGCGCTGAACCCCGTCCCCGTGGGAAGGGACACGCAGACTCGTTGTGTCTTTCCGAACGACACTTGGTGGGAAGTAGGTGGCGGGTGGTCGGCCACAAGCTGCTCCTCCCTGTTGACTGTAACGGCAATTGCTTCCAGGTCTTTACCTCGCACGGCCCGACGGTGATCATGCCCACCTGGTTCTGCTCCCGCGCATGGCTTTCCCACGTGGGCCCCTTCGACGAGGGCGGTCAGGTAAGCGCCAGGGCGCGAGTCGGGGCTCCCTCTGGGGTGGGTTCCCTGCACACCTGGCTGCCCCCAGCTCCAATGCACCTGTGGGCTCCGGGCTTTAGGAGTCGCCGTCTGTGAAGGTCTCCCCGGCCGCCTCCTGCTGTGCCCGCAGCCTCTCAGTTGTCCTGCTGGGAAAGGGGGTTTCTGTGTGGAGGTGCGGACGCCCAGGGCACCTGCACCTGCACCTGCACCTGATCTGCACCTGCCTGGAGACGTCTCCTGGCTTTGGGCTCCAGGTCACGTCATCCTGGGTTGAAGCCGTGTGTGTGAAAGCACAGGACGTGAGAGGTGTCAGCACGGTTGACGGAGGGCCAGGAGCCCATCCTGCCCATCAGGGCTGGGCCACAGCAGTCTGTCCACGCTGGGACCGGCCCTGTCCTCTGCATCGTTGCCACCTGTGGGACCTGGGCCCAGGGCTGGGGCATCGCCTGCAGGGAGCTGGCTCGGCCCACGCTGGCCTCTGGCAGGAGACACCAGCAGGTGCAGAGGCCAGCAGTGGTCTGGCACGGGCTCCTGGGGGTCTGGAGACCCCGGCCAGGGGAGGAGGTGGCCAGTGACTCAGGCCCAGCCTCCACCGCCGGCCCTGTGATCTCAGCCACATCCGCCTTCCTGGCCTTAAGCCTCGGTTTCCTTATCCAGACAATGGGGTCAGCAGTTCACCGGCGGACGGGGGCCACGTGGTCCCTGCTGCCTCGCTGGGAGGAGAGGCCAGCTTCCACACGGCCCCACCCGTCAGACGGCCGGGATGGCCCCCATGGTCACTTGGCCTTGGACGGTGGCTCCACTGCACGGTCGTCCCTCTCTGCCTGTCCTGGGGCCGCGGCTGCTCCTGGGAACGTCCCCAGAATGGGACAAGCCACACTCGAGACTCGCCAGGTCAGCTCTGTGTGTCCCGCCGGCCTCTGGCACTGGCAGCGTTGTTCTGTCTGCACACCTGGAGAAAGGCCCGCCTGGGCACCAGGTCCCCGCCCTGCCTGGCTGCCACAGCAATGCACCCCTGGGACTGAGGGTGTCACTCTGGGCCTCGGCCAGCCCCCCCGTGCTCCTCAGTCCCGAGCCAGGACGTGCCCACCACCGCCCTGCAGACACGGAGCCGCTCTGCCTTGTGGAATGGATGACTTAGCTGGGAAAACGCGTCCGGCTTCACACGCACAGAGGCCGGGTGGGGGGTCAGATGAGTGAGATTTGGGGGGGGGTGCTGGGGAGGGGGCTCAGCTGAGGCGGCAGGTGTCCCCAGGGGCGGCCGGCCCTTAAATAAAGTAACAGAAATGGCGTCGTCTTGGTTCAGACAGGTTTATGAGGGCAGGTGTGGCCTGGAGAAGGCTTGTCATTGTCACGGACGGACCTGCTACTCAGAAAAACTGCTGCCAGGCACAACAGATGCTTTTTAGATGTGTTTTCATATCTGTGGGGTAAATGCCTGGGAGTGGGGCCACAGTGAGAGCCACGGAAACCTTCCCTTTGTGCACGGGGATACCCTGGACATGGCCAGCATGTTCCCGCCACCCAAACTGCGTGTTGTCATCCTTTCCGCCCGGCCTTTCTGGCGGGAGCTGTGATTTCTCGCAGCACCTCGAATCTGCGTTTCCAGAACGACCCACAACACGGCAGCTTCTCACACGGTGTTCGGCTGCTGCACGTGCTGTTTGGTGCGGCGCCGAGTCTCTGGCCCGTTGCTAAGCGTGGCCTCTCCGTGGCTGGACCTGGCGCTTTGTCAGGTGTCTCTTTGTGCTGTTTCCTCCTCTCTGGTCTCCATGCGGGGACCCGTCGCTTCGCCTGCAGTTCCCCCAGGAGCCCGAGGTCCTGCCCGAGCCTCTTCCGAGCAGGACTCTGGGCTTCCACCTGCGTCTTGCGGTTTCCTCTCCCTCCCGCCCGCCCCGCAGGCCGAGTCGTGCGCAGAACTCAGGTTGAGCGAGGGCGGCAGCTCGGCCGGCCCAAGTCAGAGCCGTCACCCAGTCCCGAGCTTCTGCACGTCCTCTGGGTGTCACAGGAGATTTTCATCTTGTCCTGGTGGTTATCTCTGTACCGAGCCCTTCTCTGAATGCCTCCATCCCTGTTTCCTGATTAAGCCTTGGATGTCTGTTGGTTTTCTCGTTGTTGGAGGTGTTGGCATTTCGACTCTCACTTATTGCTGGCACCACACTCAGCGAGATGGCCCTGCCTTCCTCTCTCTCCCCTCCTCGCCTCCCATTTTTGTTGCCCTGTTTCTTGTATTTCCAAAGATAAACGTCCACGCGGCTGTTTCCAGCCTCGTCTCTGTCTCCGCCGTCTTCCACCTGCGGTCGCGGCCGCCGTCGTGGCTGAGCGGAAGGTTGTCCGGTCAGCCCGTGGCCTGACGAAGCTGGCGTCCCTTGGGGTCCTGCGTGTCCGGAACCGTGTCACTCGGGCTGGTACCGGAGGGAGAGTTTGGCTGTGCAGGAAATCCTAGGTTCACGCTTTGTGCCTTGAGCATCTTGAGAGTGTTAATTCCTTGAGAGTATTAATACCTTGAGAGTGTTAATACCTTGAGAGTGTTAATACCTTGAGAGTGTTAATACCTTGAGAGTGTTAATACCTTGAGAGTGTTAATACCATGAGAGTGTTAATACCTTGAGAGTGTTAATACCTTGAGAGTGTTAATACCTTGAGACTGTTAATACCTTGAGAGTGTTAATTCCTTGAGAGTGTTAATACCTTGAGAGTGTTAATACCTTGAGAGTGTTAATACCTTGAGAGTGTTAATACCTTGAGAGTGTTAATACCTTGAGAGTGTTAATTCCTTGAGAGTGTTAATACCTTGAGAGTGTTAATTCCTTGAGAGTGTTAATACCTTGAGAGTGTTAATACCTTGAGAGTGTTAATACCTTGAGACTATTAATACCTTGAGAGTGTTAATACCTTGAGAGTATTAATACCTTGAGACTATTAATACCTTGAGAGTGTTAAT